CAGGAGTCGCGTCTGCATGGCGGGGTTGTTGATGCCGCAGACGAACCGGTCCCGGAGTATAGCGAGTCCAACTGGTCGCCGAAGGCGCAGGTGCTCGCTAACCCTCGTAGCGCAGCGACGAACTGCCCGAGGGTCTCCCCGTCCTGGCGGCTCCGGTTGTTGAAGCGGAACCGCTCCATCAGCGTGGACGGCGCCGAGCTGAAGTGCGAGCGCAGCGTGGCGAGCAGCTCACCCAGCGTTTTGACGTGCGGCGTGGCCGGCTTGAGGAGGTCGAGCAGGAGGCTGAAGACGCGGGTCCCGCAACTGGCCAGGAAGATGTCCCGTTGTTTCGCCTCGGGCTTGTCGTTCGCCCGGAAGAACACGTGGACCTGTTCTTCGTAGACCGGCCAGGCGGACCCATCTCCCTCGAACGGCTCGAGCCTCCCGTACAGCGGCATGGCGACAGGAGCGGGGTGCGGTGTTCCGACTCTCTCGGCGGCGTGGGCCGAACCGTGCACGTTGGTGGCCTCCAGTGCCACGGTTCCTCGTCGCCAGTGTCACGATCTTTCTCGAACGTGGACGAAGGGGCCGAAGCACCCGCCGAGGAGAGACGACACGCAGCCTGGTTGTGAGGGTGGACGATATCTGACCGGAGCGGCGTACGCTCAACGGCGTTTATTGTCGCGATGAACAATGTTGCCCGCCGAGCCAGGCGGCCGCAGACGGGCGGACTGGAGGGGGGCACTACATACTTGTTACACATTAAACGTGTTTGCACCAAATGCCGGAATAATAAGAAGGTATGCTAACGGCAGTCGTCGCATGATGTCAGACAGCTTATGGGAGACGACTGCCTGTAGAATTTGAAGGAAACATTCTGCCGGATGCCAGGAGAGCAGACACTGCCATATTTAGATTGTTTAGAGCGGCGCGAAACGCACTTATTGCTTTCACGCACGACAGTATTAATTTTTCATCTAGTACTGGCCCCACAAAGATTGATCTGTGCAACACTGAAACTTATTTTTCATGGGATCAAATTATTTATGAGGGGCGTCTTTCTTTCGGAAAGAAATCCTTCGTTTCCACTACTACCGTGGCAAAGGCAGTTCTAATACTGGATGTGATACAAGCTAGACTCGATCGCAGCGCCGCCGTTTTCAGAGCCGCGGCAACTCCAGTATCAACTCCGGGAGCGTAACATAAGACAACGGAGAAGATGAAACTCACGCTGTGCCGCGAATTTCTCGTGAACGGCCTTATACAGGAGGCGCACCGAAGTAGAAAAGGAAGAAAAGAAACAGAGAAATATCGGAGCGCTCGGCGGGAATGCTAAAAGCCTGGATAGCTCGCTTGTTTAGCACGAGGAGATGAGCGCGTTGTTCGCTCTCAGAAATTGGGGGCGTATAGGGGTACACCCCTTGTCCCATATGTAACACCCCAAAACTACATTTCGTCGTTCTGTCCACTGGCGTCGAGCTGGCGATAGCAACGTTTATGAGCGGCGTGATAGCTGTTGGATATAACGTACTAAATAGCTTATGTGCGTGTCAGAGTATATAAAAAAATCACCGAGATTTTTCAGCAGTGGCTAAACAACCTTTATTTTCTTACTGCAGCCTTTAATGACTACATTAGCTATATTAATACGTAATGTAGTCATTAGCTATATACTCATTAGCTCTTAATGAGTACATATCTAATGAACTTATTAGAAAATGTACTCATATTTTTAACTATTTTAGTAAGTTGTATCGCTCGACTATCAAACCTCTTAAAAGTTGGTATTGCCAGCTCGACGTCGATAGACAGAACGTCGAAATGTAGTTTTGGGGTGTTATATAGGAGACGAGCTAGGGGTGTGCCCCTGTACACCGCCTATTTCTGAGAGCGTTGGCGTCTGCTTGGTTACGTGTTTTGACACCGCGGGAGTAACTATAGCAAATACTGACCTAGACGAGCGGCTGGCACTCAAGTAACTTGCATCTACTCAAGAAAACGTGAGGTTGGCAGTTACGAAGAAGGTCGTTGATGTGGATGATGTTCGGCCACTTGCAACAAGGGGCCTGATGGCGAACACGTTGCGATGTGAAGTTCAGTCAGGCGGTATTAGACGTTAACTTAGATAGATTTATTTAACCTAGTACGTTCACTGTGGTGGGCGCGACCAGACGTCGCCACCCGGCACTTTCTGTCCTCCAAAACCCCAATAAGGAACCCTACCGCAACCCAGCTTGATCCGTCCCAGAAAACCTCCTCTCATCCTTGGCCCCTCCGTTTTAGAGTCGGAGTCGGGTTCCTTCTCCCAATCGTCCGAACCAATCGCCCAGATTTCCTCGCTATTTTCTTTCTGGTAGATGGTCGGTCCTAAAACCACACAAGCAGAATAACAACCTGTCTCAAACGGATAACCGAAATAAAAAAAAAAAACACAAAGACCCCACGCTTTTCGTCGACGGACATTACAAGAAGACGCAGTGAAGATGGGCGCACCCACAAACCCGGCCCGCTCAGACAATGGGCGCGCTAAGTCGGCGCTCCTTTAAGGCTCGTTCACAGACTTCCAACCGAGTACAACCGAGAGAGACAAGACCGGTTTTTAAGCCTCTTGCGAGTTCTTAGAACCGGATACGCTGCAGCGGGGCTGGTCCTAAGGCGTCGCAAGAGGCTTCAAAACCAGTCTTGTCGCTCTCCGTCCTACTCGGTCGCAACTGTGCGAACGGCGCTTTACTCCTACTCCGACACTTAGAGTTTCATACTCCGAGCGCAGCAACTTAACGACGCATAGCATACAGGAGCGCGACACACCGAGGCTGCGTTTCAAATCTACTCGAATGGATCCGAGTTACCCTGGCGGATTATGTCACATAACAACAAAAATAAAGAAACCCTGGACGCGGGTAGGTTTTCGACAACCACCTTTGCCCTAGAGTTAGATCGAGTAAGTTTTGGAACACGGCCAGAAACTGTTGACTGGCCACACGAGCTCCTTCCGACCATGGATACGGGTGGCCGAAGCGGAAAATCTTTCGAAGATAAATAATTAGGCCCGTGTGGAGCGGCACATTCTAAAGCAAAAGAGACTGCGACGTTATAAAGTTTCTACGAACGTTTTGATATCCCTGAAAGCTTTGTAGACTCGCTTTATGCACATATGTGTAAGGTTACTTTGGCCGATCTGTTCATTGACCATGAATGCTGTTCCGATTTAAATTAAAAGGCAACATTCTTGAACCCGCTCGTCGACGCAGGAAACCCCGAATTTGTCAGAGATTCTCTGGTGCCGTCGGTTCCGTCTCACAGCGAGACGGAAGCTACGCTGATACCGGCACACCGTCGTTCGATAGCACGTCAATTCGTTTTTAGGCGGTATGCATAAACAAACCTTTCCCGCGACGCTAACTGGTGTTTCGGCTTTCCAATCTAAGTATCTTTATTTGCTGCGGCTAAGCTAAGCATTCTAACCAAGGCAGCGGTGTGGCTGTCTTTTCATCACAACTTCTCTGTTGCCGAGCTATCGGCAAGCTTCAGTTTGAGAGTAGAATTTCTTTTTCAGGCGAGATGCACGAACAAACCTTTTTCGAAACGCTAATTGCCGTCTTGGCGTTCAAATCAAATCGTATTTACCTGCTGGATTAAAGGATTAAGCACTAATCAACTGAAAAGGGGCAGCGGTCCGCATACGTCTTTCGTCTCGCCAGCCTCCTCAACAGCAGGGCAGCCATCTTGGTTGTTTACGTGACGTCACGGAGCGCGAAGAAGTCACTCGCGCTCCGACAAATACTCGGTGCACGAAGAGCGCGCTTGAGTGTCAGTCTCCAGTGGCACTCGTCAACGTTCCCATGACGTCGTCAACGTCATGGGAACGTTGACGACGTTTGAGTTGAAATACAACGTCGTCACAACGTCACTGATTGGACTCTAATGGAACGTTATATAAGGACGTCACCTCAACATCGAAAAAACGTGATTAAAGTCATGCGGGACGTCATGGACGTCCGGGACTTTTTTTCGACGTTTCTACGACGTTTTGTGCTGCCAGGGTCCTGTCCGTTTAGTGAAAGGAGCGCCGAACTCTCGCGCTCCGGAGCACGGACTTAACATGCCCAATGAAAGCAAAGCCGACATGTTCAGCACAGTGTGCTACCCCAGAAACCCCATCCGGCAGCCACCCATGGGAAGGATTGCGCCCCGTTGTCCCGGCTCCCCAATTAGGCATACGCCCGCCCGAGGCGCCCCACAGGGCGACATCTCCCCCCTTCCCGCGGTCAGCCCGCCGTCTCCCCTGCCGCCTTGGTGATCCTTCCGGCGACGGACGACACAGCTGCGCTTCAACACAAACCGAAAAAAAAGGAATAATATGCCTGTACCTAACTTAGCACTCGCGTTTTTAAATGCCATAGCATTTAAAAACGCATGTGCCCGCTCCTCGCGTTTTTGCAAATGATTGCAATATTATAAAGGTTGGCCCCGAAAATTTTTCATATCCTTCATTCTATAGATATCTACCATACATTAAGGAGCTGACAGACTTCTTTGCGCCCGTGTTCGCGGAATGTACGATAAAAAGCGTACAATATGGACTGTTTGGAATAATTGTAAATATACATGGTCCCAATGTAGCGCTAGCAGGCGGAGCCAGACGCCAAAGTTTCGCAAGAGCCGTTATATTGTTAAAAAGTAAAATGTTTTAGGGAAAAATGTTAACCGGAAAAGGATGACCGAAAACGCCTACCAATACAAAGGCCTGGATGGCGGAAACTACAAAGGATAAGCCCTGTTTTCCCATTGAAAGTTTCAAAAAAAATCTCTTAACTTTTGAGTAAGGTAACGCTTAATTTTGAAACTGGAGCCTGGTACGAACCGCTAGCGCTACATTTTGTTTGGCCGGAGACCGAGCGTTAGGGAATTAATTTTTGCGCTGCGAAAATCCCTGGCACTTTGTTCTGTTGCACGCTGTAGATAAAATCTCACCTCTTAAGCCTGCTAATAGCTAAGCCTCGTTAATTTTGATCTCGCAGAAAAATGCGCACCTTGAAATCTGCGAAGAAGCTATGATTGAATGTGCTTTTAAAGATTTTGGATGCAACAAGAAAGTGAGTATATTGTGTTTTGTTTCATAAACAGATGTTATAGTGCCAACACTTTAGCTGGTTTAAGACACATATATACATATGTAAAAAAGACTTCTCGCCATTCACGTCCAACAAGTTTACTTCTTAGTAATTCATTTTACCTTCAGTTTATACCTCGGAAGATAGGCGCTCGTACATTCTTTAGACCCCGACAAACGTGTAAAAAAAAAGACTAAAACCTTGCCATGAAGGAAACATAGGGCTAAATATGGTGTTTTTGTTTGCCAGAAATGCTTGTACCTAAGAAAACGTAGCTTATATCAAGTAGGAGCGCGAATGGGGCAAAGTGCCTATCTATAATAATGGACAAGCATGTGATAGTATGCAAATAAATTCATGAGTTTAAACCCCCGCACGTTATAAATGCCCTCTCTAAGATATACCGCCATTCAGCCTAAGGGAAACCGACTGACATTGTTTAGCTGGGTGTGTATGAAAAAATGGGATAGAAGTTGTTCTCCGGAAAATGTTCCAATGACTAAGTTTATTTTGCTATTTGACATTTTCATTTAGCTAATAGTAACCACTAGATATTCTTCGTATTACAAGATATTTTGAACAACCATTTGTAGGCCCCAAGAAGAGAGATGCAGGAACATGAGAAGGACCCACACAATGCACTGCTTAATCAAGTGATCCTTGTGAGTATACTCTTCTTTTCTGTTGTCTTCCCTGTATAGGCGTCTAGTGGTTTGTATTCGTATATGGGGCGTTCCGCGAGACGTTGGCCAAATTATATCCGCGAAAATTACGCATCGCACAGAAAGAGTGTCACGTTGGTGTCTGCCAAGAGGCCTATTTAAAAAAAAAGAGCCTCAGAGCTTTTAGTGTAATTATGTTTTTAATACCTTTCCAGTAAGGAACGATTTAATTAGTAAATTTCATGTAATGGTTTTACTGATGTTTCTTTGTATCAAGGAAAATAACGAGACGAGCAGGTTTTACTCAAATTACAATAAGGGCAAAGCATTTTACCGGCGTTACAAAAACAAAACAAAAAACAAAAAAAGTTCAATTTGAACGCATTTCCGGGTTTTGGTTTTCTGTCGGAGAGCATACATGTTTGCGCCCGGGGTTCTGCTACCCATGACTTAAGCGCGCGACCTATCGGCTCGTCTATCACTCTCGTAGAAGAGAAGTGTGGTGCGAGTCGGCGAACTAAAACGCGGTGCTGTTCGAATGACAATACAAAAATACGCTTTGATCCTTGGCTTCAGCTGCATCAATCTAAGAATGCATTTTCGCCCAGGTTGGTTGCGCGCTTAGGCCATGGCGGACCAAGACCGATGTCCCAAAAGTGTCTTTATATATATATATATATATATATATATATATATATATATATATATATATATATTTAGTCGCTTCCAAACTGAGTGTTTTTCAGAACGCTGCAAAATGCTTTCCATGCAATATGGTTATGGAGCGAATATGTGGCGAAGAACCGACGAACTTCACCTGACGGCGCTTTTGCTTTGCGCGCGATTGAACCGCCACTCTTTCGACGCCACACGCAGAGCAAACGCGGCCGGGTGAAATTCGTCTCTTTTTTCGCTCTCTATAGAGTTCAGCCTTTAGTGCTTTTCGCTGGTGCCCACAAAGTTTATAATGAAAGAAATACCTTTCAATTTAGCAGTGAAAGGTTAATTACTAAAGTTAATGAGAACCTAACTATACCAATCCTTATTAAAGTTCCTAAGAAAAAAACCCGTGGTAGACACCAATAGGACATGAACTTTTCTTTCTGTGCAATGCGTGCTTTTCGCAGCAGTAGCGATTGGTATTGCTTTTCGAGAAACGACCGTTATATAGGGTGTGTTCAAATAAGATCATGCACTTGTGTCCAGTGGACATTTTTGTTTTCTTCGTATTTTTATATGTTACTCCCGAATGTGTTAAAGGAACTACATCACAAAACGTTTTGAAAAAAAAAAAGTTTATTTCTGGAGAAAAAAAAAAAAAAGACTACATCCAGATGGCAAACCCGTTTTGGCGTTTTGTCATTTTTGCCAAGTTTGACGGCAAGTAATAGACAAAAAACAAACAATACAAATCTCAAAATATTTTTTTTTTCATATAGCACTCTATAATGGCAATACATGAAACAATTTAGGGAATTTTGGAAAATTATGTCGTGCGTAAAAAATGCACAAACATGGCTACTTTGACGTTTTTACCTTATGTTTGTGATTTGTTATCTCGTAGAGTTTTTAAGATCTATTGTTTTAATTTTTTTTCACATGTTCTTCACATAAGGGTCTATTTTTCGTATATAATGTGCCTCTCTGACTTATAAAGAAAAATATTTACAGTCTCTAAACTTTGCTGAAAACGGAAAGTCCCGCAACTTCAACGTACGATTAAAAAAAAAAATCTTCAATTTCTTTTTTAAATTTCGGCGAACCATTCTATATTATATCGCCCTGTTATCTCATTAAAAACATGTTGCATAATTTTGTGTCTTTCAAAAATACAACACTTCGAAGTGCAGGAATTTGGCTACTTTGACATTTTTCACTAATATTGGTTTGGTTATCTCGTAAGATTTTCAAGCTTTACTATTTCTTTTTTACCCATATATTCTTCTCAAAAGGATCCATCATAGATGTGTATTTTGTTGTTCTCGTGTATAATTGAAAATATTTACAGCGCTTCAAACATATCTTAGTGTAAAATGCTCTGCAAATTCAACGTGCAACTAAGAAAAAAAAATAAAAGGCTGATTTTTTACAATTTAAGTTTGGGTAAAGTATACTGCACCAAATTGCCATGCTTTTCATTAAAATGTGTGTTGCTTTCTTTTGTCCCGGTCAAAAAACACAGAGCTTCGAATTTTACTATGTATACCCTCCAGATCAACAGTTTGGTTGCTAGCTGCCGCGGTCTCAATTACTCCTACGTTCCCTAAAATAAACGTATCATAATTTTATATTTTGTTCAATTTGTGGCCAACTTCAAGTTTGATATATATGACTCTATAAACACATATATTAAGTAGTAGTTCAAAGCTTCAACTACATCCGTCCTGTGACGAGCCTGCCCCTCATGCTTATTTCAAATGCCGCTGTTCGGTAAACGCGTGACCTGAAACACAACGTCCCTGAAACTGAGAAACAGAACAGCCCGGCATGGCGCTCTCAAAGTAACAATCGAACACACCTTATTGATGTGTTTCGTTCTTACTTAGAGAGCACAAACCGAGCTGTTGTGCTTCTTTGTTTCTGGGAAGTTGTTTCAGGTGACGCGTATACCAAGCAGCGGCATTTGAAATAAGCATGAGGGGCGGGCTCGTCACAGGACGGATGCAGTTGAAGCTTTGAACTACTACTTAATAGACGTGTTTGTAGAGTCATGTATATGAAATCTTGACTTGGCCACAAATGAAATAAAATATAAAATTTTAAGTTTCTTTTATAGAACGTAGGAGTAATTGGAGGCCGCGGCAGCTAGCAACAAAAATGTTGATCTGGAAGGTATAGATAGTACAATTCGAAGCTTTGTGTTTTTGAACGGGACAAAATAAAGCACAAAAATTTTAATGAAAAGCACGGCAATGTGATGCAATATACTTTGCCAAAACTTAAAAAAAAAATCAGCTTTTTTTTTTTAGTTGCACGTTGAATTCGCAGGGCATTTTACACTAAGACATGTTTGAAGCACTGTAAATATTTTCATTTATAAACGAGAACAACGAAGTATACATCTATGATAGATTCTTTTGAGGATGATGTATGAGTAAAAAAGAAATAATAAAGCTTGAAAATCTTACCAGATAACAGCGAACCAATATTAGTGAGAAATGTCAAAGTAGCGAAATTCCTGCACATCGAAGTGCTGTATTTCTGACAGAGATCAAATAATGCAACATGTTTTAATGAGAAAACAGTGCGATATAGTGTAAAACACTTCACCAAAATAAAAAAAAAACGTGTTTTTTTTAGTAGCACGTTGAAGTTGCGGGACTTCTCGATTTTAGCTATATTTAGAGCAGTGTAAATATTTTTCTTTATGCGTCAGAGAAACACGCACTATATATGGACAATGGACACCTACGGGCAGTACCTGTGAAAACAATTTAAACGATATATCTTAAAAACTCTACGAGATAACAAATCACAAATATAAGGTTTAAACGTCAAAGTTGTGTGCATTTTTGTTTGTGTTTGTTTTTTTGTTTGGACATTTTTTACGCACGATATATTTTTTCCAAAGTTCTATAAATTGTTTCATGTATTGCCATTATCGACTACTATATGAGAAAAAGCTTGAGTTTTATATTGTTTGTGTTTTGTACCGCCAAACTTGGCCGAAATGCCAAAATGCCAAAACGAGTTCGCCTTCTGTATGTAGTCTTTTTTTTTTTTTTTTTGTTTTCTGGAGAAATACAATTTTTCTCGCAGAACCCTTTGTGATTCTGTTCCCTTCACACATTGGGAAGTAACATACACGAAGAAAAACAAAAATGTCAACTGGACACGCGTGCATGATCTTATCGTTGTGTCAACTTTCGTATTTCCCCAGTCTCGGGTTGCCTCAGAATGTTACACCAGCTCACCTGTGCCCTTACGTTCTGTTCTGAGAGTATAGGTGCGTGGCATTGATGATTCACATTTGCCAATTTGTTTGAAGGGGCTTCAACAAAGAATCGAGAACCTGGAGCGGCCACTCACCGCCCTCGTTAAAAAGCTTCGTGCTGCGCATGCGGTGGAAACCAGTCAATGATCGCCAACCGAAAGAAATTGCACTGTGCAATGTTGGGCCAGGATAATTGTCGTTAAGAATAGAATTGTGAAGGTCTTTAAATATCTAGTGATGGTTTGATTTTTCAGAGGCACTACAATTTTTTGTTTCTTGCAGCAAAACTTGCGACGAAATAAACATGTGAAGAGTTCTTACTGCTTTGATCTGTATTTTGATGAGATCGCGTGAAAGCAATAGCCTTGTGGGGAATTTGGCTACTTCACGCTCACGGGCCTCCTTGTTAGCAACCGCGGTTCGCGCGGAAAGCCCATGCCGTTGGCTTTTTGCACCAGCTAGCACGGACTCCGGCCAAAGGTATGAAATGCGCGTGGAGAGGACTTAGAGAACCACCACGACCAAGCCTGCACAATCAGCGCGACGTCCTGACTAGGTCGGGGCGGACGCTAATTTCACCTGCACGCAACTTGGCGATGTAATAATGAGTGTAATAAATTATAGATGTCATTAGAAACCTAATTATTTTCTATAGCACAAAATGAAAGACGTGGTATTCTAGGCCAAGTTTGCCCAAACGTTTTGGCTAATGGGCCGGTAAAAGAAAAGTCCTGTCTCGAATAAAAAAAAAAAAACTATGAACCAAGAATAAAAAAAAATATCCTATAAAGCGTTGAATACACAAATTTGGAATACGGTACAAATTTTAAAATATATTCTTGGGTGGGTAAATGCATGCTCTTTATTTAAAAAATGCGATGTATAGATAATTACGAAAATACACAATTCTATTAACCCTTTTCACATGATATGAATCAAAGAACATATGAACTTTCGCATGTACACACAGTGCAAAAGACTGAGAAGCGTTGAACTAATTACGACCATGTACTATAATTACTACACAAGACACTAAGTAGGGTATACAAGAAACCGTACAGTAATTTAACGTTGTTTTAGAGATATTAAACTGGGGACTAAATATTTGCCGGTGATGACAATGTGCAATAAATATTTTGAACAAGAGGACCCTCGTCACTTTCCAGTTCCCTCGTTCTTTCTGGTATTTTATTTCGCGTGTTTGGTGCGCGTCGCAAAACCGTTGGTTTTGGCGCGCTTTTTTTTTTTTTTGCGTGCGGTTTTTGTTGGAGTTGGGCCGGGCGTCACTTCAAACATCGCAATCAGTGGGGGGTCGGTCCGAATGAATCTGAGGGCCGTATTTGGCCCACGGGCCGCGGTTTGAAAACCCCTGATCTAGATACAAAAAAGATCGCATTCGTGTGGACGAATTCAGCATTTAAAAGTTGCCGATTAGGACTGTACAACAGCGTTGTGCCAAGTTTTACATTTTAATACAATAAACAAATGAAGTATTACTCACTCTCTTATACTGGAAGATACTGTACATTTGATTATGATCATTTTTTGGCGAAGCGTGACGGCAATACAAAGAATGCTACGATAAAAACTCGGAGTGGCTATCGGTGTTATCAGGTAAGCAGTGTAATGTAATAGGAACATATTAACTCGAATTCAATGATGCATTTTTTGAAGCATCGAAATAATGATGGTGAACAAGGGTGCTTTTATGTCTTTTTTTGAATCTGTTCCCGAGGTTCCTAGTATTCATAAAACCTGAGTAAGAACAAACAACTTTGTGAGTCAATTGGTTTTAGAAAGCAATTATCATCAACATGGCGCTCCTAACGCGCATGATAACGGTTGACCAATGATCATTGATTGAGATGTACCACAATCTCGAAATTCAGGCGCCTTATATTTCTTACTCTCGTTTGAGACTTCACCCGCAGAAAGCTATCGCCTAGAGTACATCACCACCGCGGATATTTAAAGATCGCGCTATTGTTGGGTGACGAACTTAATATTCACTTTGTCACGTATAATGTCGTAAAAAGGCAAATAAGAAATTACGAGCTTTACCTTGACGTTGGTGTTTGTTTTCATCCTGAATTTTCTTGTTTGCTTTAAGACGTCTATCCAGGGTAATGTCAGCGCCATCAGACAATCGGGGCCTGATAAAAAAAACAAAAAAAAACAACAACAGTGATATCTTATTAATGTAGACACGTCCAGTCACCCTCCCCCCCCCCCCCCCCCCCCCCCCCCCCCCATAGCAACCACACTGAGTTTTCCATAGTACCGAGACAAAAGTGCGTGCATTTACCCAGTTCCCGAAAATTCTGTCTTCATATCGGGATGTCCGTACTAACTGGGTTCGTGTTAAGGAGCCCTGACGCAGTTCCAGGGCAACCGTACATTTTCAAGAATCCTAAAGACTGTTGCACAATCAACCATGGAACAAACCAAAAAGGAAACAAATGCGACAAAATAATAAAAATACTCAAGGGTGGCTCGCAAGATTGCCTAAATTCTCAAAGCTAAAAGAAAACGTTTTGGCGATTGGTCATTTTGCGTTTAGCCGCAGTGTGATAAAATATTGGGTTTCACTTGCGCCGTCTGCAAGGCAGAGGCAAAAAATAACCGCAATTTAGCCGTGAGAAAACCGAATCTTGTGATAGACTGCTGCGCTGAAAATATGTGTTTGGAGCTCTGTACGCCTGCCTGGCGAATTGATGGGAAATGTGACGTGACCACAGCACTTTCAAAATGACCGCCCCCTCGTTAGCACGCACGAGAGAGGAGCAGCGTTTGGTTAAGCGATTTTTGGGCGCAGAAGGCAAAAAATGTGAGGATATTCATCACAGGATGATGAAGCAGTACGCAGATACCTGCGTATTGCTTCGGCAGTTTTACGAGTGTTACAAAAAGTTTCTAAGTGGAGCGTCCAGTTTGAGGGACACACCTGGCTCCGGCCGGGCTAACACTTCAACGACGCCGGACGTAAGCTCTGCTGTGGAACGGCTCATACACGGAAACCGACCTGCCACCACCGATAAAGTGGCTGGAGGATTGAATATTAGTCGTGGCTCGAAGCAACATATCATTCATGATACTCTGCAGTACCACAAAGTATCCGCCAGGTGGGTAGCGAAACAAGTTACGTCAGACCTTAAGGAGGGGTGTGTGAATGCTTGTGAGACGCCACTGCGACGCTAGAAGTCGATGGAGACCATTTTCTTCGACGCGTTTTCACCGCTGACGAATGTCGGGTGCACTACGCCCAGCCAGAGGCAAAGCGAGCAAGCAAGGAGTGGCGACACAACGTCAGGAAGGCCGAAGAAGTTCAAGACAGCGTTAACGGTGGGCAATATAATGCTCACGGTCTTTTGGGACCATAAAGGCCCAGTAGTTGAATATTACATGCCCAAGGGACTCACTGTAAACAGTGCATCCTACTGCAACCTGCTTGATAACCACTTGACGCCTGCAATAAGGTCAAAGCGTCGCGGACTGCTCAGCTCACGGGTGTTGCTGCAGCACGACAATGCGTGCCCTCACACGGCACGTACGACAACCAAAAAAAAAAAAAAGAAACACGAAAGGTACGGTTCGAGTGCATTTAGCACCCACCATACTCGCCATACCTCGCACCGAGAGATTTTTACCTTTTTGGACCCCTCAAGGGCGCGTTCGGGGAAAAGAAGTTTGATACAGATGATGACCGGAAAGCGGCGATGCATTTCTGGCTCCGGAGTCAGCCACAAGATTATTTTTCCCGCGGCATCTACGCAACGGTGATGCGTTGGCGTACATGTGTCGAGCGATGAGGTGACTCTGTTGAAAAGTAATAAAAGGCTTTCCATGAGGTCTATTCTATCAGGCAAATGAAGAATAAATAACGGTCACTTTTTTAATCAGCCTCGTACTTTGATTGGGGCCTTGGTGTGCATCCGCCAGCGTAACTTCATCAACGTAGTTACGGAACTGCTTATGGGCGCTGCTTCTGCTAGCAGTACCCCTCTCTACCCCTGTGGGAACCATGGGGTTCCCTATATCCCTATTTCGGTCGAGCTTTGAGCAGGCCGTGGGAGTCGTCCTCACCAATGGCGTCGGCCTCCGGGATACAAGGAACAACGACGCCGAATTCCCCGAAGGGGCCGGTTCTCCCTTGCCCACTTTGTGTGAATGTTGCCTTTGGCACCGCTTTGAGTTATAATGGACGCGGCTTCTAGCGGACGCCCAGGGCGCGCCCATATCTCCGAGGCTACATAAGCCGGCCCCGAAGGGGCGCCGGGGGCTCTCTTCGGCGGAGGCCCTGGCTCTACGGAGCTCAGTTTTTCTCTTTGGGCCACCGACTTTCCGTGAATCTGTATATTGCGGCAGCGCGGGAAACCGACCGGGTGATACTGGCAATAATAATTGTGTTGTGTGTGTGTTTATACAGCCTAGAACTTGGTCTGCCTCACAGGGGCGACGAGTCTCCCAGCTGTAGATGAGAAATTTAGCCAGTGCGGTACAACCGCAAGCCTGGGGTCTTTAACGTGCATCACGCAGTAGTAATACACGACCGCACGCCGGTACGATGCTCATCCAGATCGAAACGGGCAGGGGTGGGGCTCGAGCCCAGGATCCCTGGGTTCTGCAACGCGAGCTTTCGCTCCACGTGCTCCGAGCTGGTGTGCGCTAGACCACTCGGCCACCGATCCCCCTGATACTGGCAATTGAGCCAGCACCCAGAGTTTTCATGCCTAAGAGCAAAGCGTATTGGCGTTTGAGTTAATAAGCGCGTCGAAAACAGACTCACTGTGTTGGTGTTGTCTCTCGTCCACCGGTGCCCCAAAAAGGCAGTCAATGGACGGACCCGGCCGTAGCCGCGCAAAGAGCGGACTACGGAGTGAATATTTACGTCAATGAGGACCAGGGGGCAAAGTTAACAAATCCCACAACCCCGAAGGGTCACCTGCCATCGTTCGACGCGCCATCATTTAGGGGACGGCTGCTATGGTAACTGCAGCCTACTCTATGAAAAGTAACGTTTTAAAGCTCAGCCTCTAGAAGATCCTTCAACATAACGTGTCACAGAGTAACTGTATGTGCTCCGCTTGCGGAGGAGAGTATCCTAGGGGTCCGAGATTTTTACTTTAAAGTATTGCGGGAGAAGCGAACTTCGCTCTTGCAGAAGACGCGAAGGGCGCGACGATATGAGGCGCGGTTCACCGCGCATGCGCCGTCGTGCGCCTCTCGGATTCACAAAAGCGCGCGTGCCCTGGCTCGGTCATCGTGGTTATTGAGTCGTCTGCTTGCTCACAAACGCTTTGAAACTGCGCTCGCGTTTTAAAAATAACGCAATTACACACATCTAGGTAGCACACACAATGTCCAAATGTTTAAGACACTTCTTGCTTGTCGTCATACTTCTATGCAATATCTACATTTCGAGAGCGCAAAGCGAAACATATGTTCCGCCCCAAACACGGAGCTACCCGAGACGGCTTCCCCTCAAGCGAAGTAGTCACATTTGGCGCATGCGACCCCTTTTCTGCCAATGACGAGTTAAGGCGCTTTCACACCGGCGATGTACGCAGTCGTGCGATGCGACTAGATTGCATCGCAAAAAATTAACTGGTAACATTAGCGTGCGCGATGAGTGAGTCCAACGCCTTTGTTGGCGAGTCGTTTCTCGAAAACTCTCGCTCCGAACGCTGTTGATTGGCTCAGCCGCTCTGCGACTAGATCGCATCGCAAAAAGTCGGGTCAGCAAGCGACTGCTCAAATCTCGTAGCTTTTTGCCCGTGATGGCCGCTTTTGCGATGAAAGTTATCGCGCGATTAGATCGTATCGCCGGTGTGAACGCGCTTTTAGGGGTAAAAGGAAAACAAAAAGGCAATACTCTGGTTGTGCCCTTTGGGCCTCCGAAGATTACAATTTCTAATTGCAACCTCTGGATGGCGCAGGGATTGACTGATGGTTTAAGCAACCTCTGGATTGGGTCTCTTGCCCAAGAACCGGAAGAAGATCCCAACCATGACGACCCCACCCGTCGTCGTCCTGCCCGTCGCACCCCGGAGTTCGACGCCTTTCCACCGGGGGGTTCACGAAGACATCGAAGACTGGCTGCGACACTACGAGCGTGTAGCCCGCCACAACGGATGGACGACTGAGCAGTAC